AACAGTGCTAGAAGATGATGATGAGATCGGCATCACACTAAGTGTCTCAGATGCATCATTGTATATTAGATACACATTAAACTATTTAGGACAGATTGAGTTACTGATTTGGGATAATAGTTCCAAGAATTGGACAAAGTACTCATCTGTGCCAAATGACAAGTGCGAAACATATGGATGGTGCGGTCAATTCGCGTATTGTGATAGTACTGAATCAGTGCCAGCATGCAAATGTATGGAAGGATTTGGGCCCAAGGTTCAGAGTGACTGGGAGAATGGGAACTTCTCGGCTGGTTGCATCAGAAAGAAGTCATTGAGGTGTGGTGATGGAGATGTATTTCTGAGAGTTGAAGGCATGAAATTGCCGGACCATGTTGTGTTTCTTAGTAACAGAAGCATCGGAGACTGCAGAACTGCGTGCCTAACCAATTGTTCCTGTACGGCTTATGCTTATCCTGATGTGACCACGGGAAACACAACGATCTCAGGGTGCTTGATTTGGGTGGGAGAGTTGATAGATACCGAGATGGTAGGCGGTGGTGGGGAGGATCTCTATTTGCGCCTAATGGATATTAGTTTAGGTATGCATTTTATCTCTTTCCCTTTGGATAGTGTTGTTTCAATGCAACACTGGTGGTAGTATGTGGTAGTCTTGTTGAGGTTGTGGAGCATGAATACATATTGATCACTGCAGGAAACTGAGCTTTCCACTGACATATAGCTGCTATTCTTTCTGCTATCTACAATGGATTTTTTTTTTCCTTTGAGACGATCACATTGTTCCTGTAATGAACCTGGACACTGCTTCGTCCTGGCTGACCTACAGTCTACAATAAGATATGCTGCACCATCTTGAATTCTTAGGACCTTTCACTCGACAATGCTTATCGGACTTTGTTTCAGAATATGCATCTGAAGTTATTTCTGTAAACAGGAACATCAGGCAGCAAGACGAAGACTAGGAGGATAGTAATTATAGTATCTCTTCCTGCGAGTATCGTTTCTTTGGCTTGCATCTTTATCTTTTGGAAGTTCAGTGAGGTATTTGGTAAGTTTGTGTCCCTACAAGTTTTAGGAACCAAATTGATCGGCTATGAGAATTTAATTGACTCAACTGCCTAACCAGGTGTATTCAAGGATCGAAAGAAAGGAAATCTACTAAGTGATCTGAGCTCAAGTACAGACTTTGCAAACAACATCTCTGGCTCGAACGAATTCATAGAAAGGCAGCCTCATCAAGGTCCAGAACTTCCGCTAATTGGTTTTGAGAACATACTCTTTGCCACAAACAATTTCTCCGAGTCAAATAAGCTGGGAAAAGGAGGTTTTGGCATAGTTTACAAGGTAAGTATTAAACCTGAATTTATCGTAATGTTTAATTCTTGATACTGTTTGACCTCATTTTTTCTTGTGGTATATAAAGCTTCACTACAAATATTCCTTTGTCATCAACCTCACTATATATGTTACTTTATATAGTGTACAAGAAAGAAAAGGAAAAGGTCTTGACCTTCCTTGTGAGCAGATGGATTCCTCGATGTCTATTCGATAAAATACGACAAAGGATATCAATGATGACAATGAAGTTGATTTAAATATATATATATAATTTCAGGGAAACCTACCAGGAGGAAAAGAGATTGCTGTTAAAAGACTCTTGAGAGGATCTAGGCAAGGTTTGTCGGAGTTCAAAAATGAGGTCATTTTGATTGCCAAGTTACAGCACAGGAACTTAGTCAAGCTTCTTGCTTACTGTATCCATGGGGTAGAGAAGCTACTGGTCTACGAGTACATGCCCAACAAAAGCTTGGATTTCCTCCTCTTTGGTTCGTCATACTCTTCCACTTTCTTGTAGTCACTGTGGATTCCAGATAGGCTGTGCCTGATAGCTCTTTGAGCAGATCCAACCCAGAAAACAAAGCTTGACTGGGGGAAGCGATTCAACATAATCAAGGGGATCGCTCGAGCGCTTCTCTATCTTCACCAGGATTCGAGGCTACGGATAATTCACCGGGATCTTAAAGCCAGCAACGTTCTGCTCGACGAAGAGATGAACCCCAAGGTGTCTGATTTCGGCCTGGCAAAGATTTTTGGCGGCAACCAGGACGAAGCCAACACCGACAGAGTCGTCGGAACATAGTAAGTAAGCTTCATCATCGTCCACGGAAGTGAGTAGATGCTAATTAAGCATGAATGCCATTGATGTGTGGTGAGGTGAGTTGCAGTGGCTACATGTCTCCCGAGTACGCAATGGAAGGGCTCTTCTCCGTGAAGTCGGATGTCTACAGCTACGGCGTGCTGCTGTTGGAGATCGTGAGCGGCTTCCGGAACAGCAGCTTTCCCCTCGCCATGGACTCCCCTAATCTCCTGGCTTACGTGAGTTGACGCCCACATCTGTTGATGCTTAGCTATGGATTCTGCCGCTCACTTTGGACCTGCAACGATTCAGGCATGGGAACTCTGGAACGAAGGCAACGCAGAGGATTACGTCGACCCATCGATTGCCGGCTCATGCGCTCGGGCGGAGGTGGCGCGAAGCATCCATGTCGGCCTGCTGTGCGTGCAAGACAGCCCCAGTGATCGGCCAGCCATGTCTTCAGTTGTTTTCATGCTGGAAAACGAAGAAGCCACGATCTCTGCTGCACCCAAACAGCCAACGTTTACGGTCCGAAGAAACCAGAATCCGCACAGAGGAGGTGATTCACGGGATGACAATATTGAGATTTGTTCTTACAACAACGTGACCATCACAACGACGGAAGGACGCTAGAGACGGATCTCAAATGTGATCTCGAGATCTACATGGCACAACATGGAACATCAAGATTCGACTTGTTGGTTACATGTTAAAGATTTTTATGTCTACAAAGGGTTTGTCGATAGTTGAAATATTTTTTGTTCATGATGAATACATTAGATGCTCTCATACGCAAATGACACATTGCCCATTAAAAATACTTTACTCACTAAGGAAGCATTACTTGTTGAGATATTTTTTGTTCATATCGGACGCACTAGATGCTTAGGTTGATAAAGGGTGCGTTAAATACCTCGGATGCTCTTATCAAAAGGACTCATTTGACATAATAATGCATTAGATGCTTTGATAAATTACGCATTAACACTTTGGATACTTTTGTTTGCCAAGGACTGAACATTAGTGCAAGCCCTTGATTGATTGTTCACTTTGGGTAAGCCTCAAAATATACCTTTAAGGGTAGATGGTGAATTGGCTTTCATTCTAACGCTAATAAGTTAACATTCGTTGTCATCCATAAGTGACAACAAAAAGTAAGATTGATGTTTATAAGATTGATTCCAAAAAACAACTTTCAAGATAGAGAATGATTGATGTTTATAAGATCTTAGAAGACTAAACATGCTTATCAGTTCCAAAAATATCTATCAGGATCAACTTGACTTAGTTTAGGCTCCTAGAAATGTTACCAAAGAGGGAGTTCGAATGCTCATTAGGTGGCTAAGAGGGGCTCGTATGCTCGTTCGGTGGTCAATATATACAAAGTCTGTGATTGAATGAATTTCCCAATATGGTCCATCGATCAATTAAGGATTCTCATGTTAATTAAAAGTGATAGAACATAAGATTTTCCCAGCTATACGAGGAAATCTTTCTATTATGTTGAGGGAAATCCTACATTCTGTTGAGGGAAATCCCTCCTAATCTGTATAAATAAGAGAGGGACATGTTAATGTATTTAAGTTTTTTTGCTTCTTCAATAAAGCTTTTTCAAGAATTGTTCTTATCTTCTATTATTTTTATCAAAAAGTTTCAAAAATCCTATATATTAATTTTGGAATGCTTGTTTGCTAAGTCGTCATTTTATGTTAATTAGAAGACTGCTTGGGGAAACGAAGAATAAGACGCATGCATCACATTGATGCGCTTCTTTGGTCTCGAAATCGAGCGGTCAATAGCACTGTGATCGATGGATATCAACCATTTGATCTACCATAAATATCGTACCTCATGCCATCAGATAATGCTTCGTGGCCTCTCTTTCTAATCGAATAATTCATCATCGATGGTTTAGATCTTTACTTTTCGTTTCCTAAAAAAGGACATAAGATTTGATGCTTAGAGTCGCTTTTCCACTGTCTTCAATCTCTAAGTGAAAAAATCCTAATAAATTAATATTCTTTGTACTTAAAAAAAGGGTCAAAATCAGAATTGATCATTTAATGTTTTGCATCAAAAACTTACATTTGGCCATGTCCTCTTTCACCACCGCCCCTCCTCCGTTACCCCTCGCCCATCCTTACCCCTTGTTATAGCATATTTTGGCAATCACCCTATACGAAACATCGCCTACCATAGCAGACCCGACATGATGTTCCTAAGCCAACATGTCGCTTCGAGCCAACTCAACACTACGAGCCTGAGACCAACAAGTCGCATGATGCAATCCCTTTGCACCCACTCCACTCGAGGCTGTATGGGGCAATGTGACCATGTATCGGGCCATATAGGAGACAAGAAGCAGTGTTGAACGAGATTGAATCGAGTAGATCATACGATGCTTGCACCCAACATACGTGTCGACCGCCTGCGACATCAATGGGCATTAAACACCTACGTACAATGATGACTCGGGATCTTTAAAGCTGTTACGTACGATCGGACGTATGAACAAATATAAAAGCGACCCCAAGAATAATACTGAGGATGGTTAAGAAGAAAACATTTATATATTCTCCCCAATTCTTCTAATTTTTAAAATCTTTATTAACTTAATCATCGGATGGATCGAGTCGGAAAGCTCTTCTGACATGTACAAGAACCCGACGAATAACGAAAGGAGTCATCTTCAACCTCCATTAACGAGAACCAAGGTTATAGCCCTTCAACCCGACTCAAGTTCTCCAACTCAGAGATCACACTGTACAGACACGACCAAGTCATGCTGACACCTCAGCCATGACATAAAGATGCAAAAACACTAGTTCAGAGATCGTGCTATTAACCTTCCAGCTCTGGGAACTCGTGATCGAGGTAGGGTCCTCCGTCTTCGAGCCTGCTGCCTCCACCGACGAGCTCCTCGAGTTCTCATGAAAGTTCTTGAATTGCCAAAGGTTAGCCTCCCTCCCCCAGATCCGATGCGCCGCGAAGCACTACGTCGCTAGAGATTGATGGCATCGAGGTGCTAGGGAACAGGGATTGACCAAGATCTTGGATAGTGTGTCGCTGGATGGCATAGAGCCGATGATGCATGTGTGCGTGGAGGGCTTCGGGTCATCGGCGGGGGAGGCAAAGCGTGCGACGATGTCGAGGATTCGGTTCCTAGTGAAGCCAAGAATGGAACCGAGGTTTTTCTGAACGATCATACATTGTAGCCACGCGGTGGTCAACAAATGAGATCGTCTTTTCGCTTCCACCTCGAGGGGCAGACAGCACCTTCATCGATGAGATGAACAAAGTGAGGGCGTGGATATATGGTCATTTACACCATGTAAATCTCGGTGGTACAGAAGGAGGAGAAGAGATAAAAAGCCATCTTTTCCCTCGTCACATTGTCAATCAGATTTAATTAAGCTAAAATTATATCAAATCAAATAAAGAAATCACATCAATTATTCCATGCTCATCCTCATTTATTCCGTCACAAGTGTCTCCAACTATATATAATACCTCAATGACAATCTTTTGTCAAACTCACTACTGCAAGTTGTGATAACATCGACAGTCCCATCATGTTGTGACCGTCATGTGTCAGACCTGAAGGCAGAATGCGAAGTCAAACAATACACCAAGATAGATTCACAAACAAGTGAATTTTCTAAGCTAGAATGATCTCGAGAGAAATATTAACATGACAAGAGAGTCGAACACCCAACACAGACCTCTGCTTGCTTGTTGGTGTCTCTGCTCGACATA